TCTAAGTCATTTACATTTAGTAACTATTTTCATTTATTATAACTTTATGAGGTGGGACTGTATTGTTCCCATTTTGCAAACTGAGAAAACTGAAGCAAAGAGAGTTCTTGTGACTTGCCACAGTCACACAAATGGTAAGTGATAGTACAGGGATCAGAACCCAGACAGGAAGCTCCCCAGAGTCTGTGCTCTTGTCCACTGCTTCCAAGTGTATACAAGATGGGGTTGTTCACAGCAGAGTAGAAAGGGAATGTACAGGAGAGTAGCCCAGCTCAGTAACATTATTTCCAGATTGTGGGATTGTAGACCAAACTTTAATTTTCTACATGAATGACATTTATTAGGTCAATTTGCTCTTATTTTGGTGTTCAAAAATGTACATTCCCTTTGTTTCAAGAACTCTCAGAATTTGTCCTCAGGAAATTATAGAGGAGATGCCAGCAAAGAAGCATGAATAAAGATGTTTATCACAAGATAACTGTAATAACAGAAAATTAGAACCAAACTAAATGCCCAACAAGGGATTGGTTAAGTAAAATGTGCTATCTACATATGGTAAAAGAATAAATATTGACATGGTGAGATGTTTGTTTTCTATTGAGGAGTGAATGAAACTGGAAGCTACATTTATAAAATAAAGCCATAAATGTGGGGAAGGGATCGCAGCCACCTCAGAGTGTGGAAATGATGTCTTTTTTATCTGTAATATTTCTCAATCTTCCAAGTTTTCTGCATTGAATGTCTATTACACCTATAATAGTAAAAAAATAATGTTATTTTCATAAAAGGATTGTCACTATTACTTGCTCAAGTGTCAGATCTGAGACAACAGAATCCCCGGGGGTGACAGTGCCCTTCATTTTGATTCTCAGGAGAGACAATGCAGGGTTCTATAAAACTCCCCTTCAATTACTTTCTATTATACCTAAGCTGCCACCCTCTGCCAGGAGTACTAGGAAACAGGCAAGATCCAGAGAGCCCAGAAGGTGCCTCCGTAAGCAAGAACCCTCAGCGTCCCTCTGGCCGCCATGCCGGTCTCACCAGACAGGCAGCCCCTCGCTCGCCTGACAGTGGAGGGTGTGCAAAAGGTCGATCAAATAAGGATGCGCAATTCAAACATTTACTTTTCAAACATCTTCAGAAAGTTTATCATACACAAACAAGCACAGGAGAGAGAAGAGGGGTTCAAGTTCAAGCCAATTCATTTGCCCAGTGGCCCCAGGGAACACAAGCATCATACAGTGAGTGGGCCGTGGGGCCCACAGGGGTGGTTCCATTTGGCAGCCAAAGAGAACGGCTGGTGGGACACAGTCTGCTGACTGGGGGGAGGGGGTTATGAAAAATAGAATGTGGAATAAGCATAACAAGTCATCACAAAATGGGTTAAGGCGCCGGTCAGGAGCCTAGCCTTCGCCAGGAGAGTAATTCCAGGACTGCTTCAATGTGTCCAGGCCAGTCCACAACAGACACTCCAATGCTATATCCGAGTAAAGCGAATTTTAGGGAAAACTATAAAATAACTTGCCAGCAACGTTTCTTTGGAATCTTGACAGTTCTGGTTTTGTTTTTTAAGATATTTGCCCACATGGGAAGAAAATTACCCTAAGTCGCAGTCTTGCAGAGAAACCAGGAAATGCTCATTGAGCACGCACCATATTTCTGGTAGGATACTGACAATCACTCAGCGCAGCAAGGCTTGTTGCCCCTGACGATGCAGGACCCAATACTACCATGGGAAGAAGGTTCAAAGGGCATGTGGTGAGACCACAAACTCCTGGGTCTAGACAATGTCATGTGACAAATGTGTGCTGGGCACCTACTGGACTCCAGATAATCAAAGGCAGTCCCCGGGGATGCATAGTCGGCCAGGAAGAAAGCCAGGCAGACTCCTGGCAGCATCGATGAGATGCTACCACTGAGGGCTGTCACTGACGGCATTCCAGGAACTACAGAAACTAGGGAGAAAATGGTGACTTCTGGGGACGTCAGAGAAGGCCTCTGAGAAGATGAACCTTAAGGTGAGTCTGGAGAGGTGAAAAAGACTTCAGTGGTACCCTAAGAGTGTAGGGGCAGGGAGAAGTCACAGCACAGGAACCACATGGGCAGACACAGAGAGTTGAACACAACCTGAGCATGAACTTGGGCTTACACTTTAGCCCACTGCTCTGTGCTTCCCTATACTGCAAATTCACACAAAGGCACACACGCACACACAGACTGAAAAATCACCGCATGAAGTTAAAACCCTGTTGGTTTGAATGTTCTCTTGGTACCAAAGCAAAACAAATAGAAATGCAGGCACTGAAATTGCATTACAAGATTCAGTTATAAAGTAGTGATCCAGGTAATCCAGTAAAAGTTTATATTAAAAGCGCCTTATAGATTATCACTAAGACCAAAATACAAAATCAAAAGATCCTTGTAGAACTCAGTCACCTTGTTACATGTTTGAAGATTCCCAGGGGCCCGGGTCTCTAATTTGAAAAACACTGGTGTAGGTGATGAAGCCTTTAAATATATATTGGGAGGGCCTCCCCGGTGGCGCAGCGGTTGAGCACTGGGTTGCGAAGCTGCCCGCAGCCTCTGCAGTGCGGATCGATCCCCGGCTGCTCCCCGGCCACTGGAGGAGGGTCCCACATGGCGCGCAGACCTCTCCTGCCACCCGCTGCTCCCCTCAGCAGTGTACTTCGGTCCTTCTGCCTGCTCTGCTCCCCGCTCTGGCTCTGGTGAATTCTCTCACCCTCCCACGCTTCTGACTGTACCCAGTGCTTGTATAAATAAACAAACAAACAAACAAACAAAAAAATAAATATTGGGGGTGGGGGAAAGCACAGGAGTGACTAGCTGGACAGATTTACAGTTTCCAGAACACTGATGCAATATTGTAGCAAAAGGAGGGAGGCGGAAGTCAGTAGGGCCTGGAGAGAGGGCACCAATGAAGAGGTGAGAGCAGGGGTCCAGGCAAATGGGGACAGGCGCTCCAAGCTTGGGAGCTCAGGCTGAGGAACCAAAGTGGGTCCCTGGCCTCCTGGAATGGGAACCTAGTTTGGAGACCTCACTGAAGAAAGATTTATTAAATCAGTCCTCCCAAAACACCAATGCAAATGACCACAGACAGACAAATGGGAAAAGAAAATGTGGTGTATGGAGAAAAAAATGTTTGCAAACCATATAACTGATAAAGGGTTAATATTCAAAATACGTAAGGAACTTAGCTCAGTAATGAAAAAACTATGTTTTCAGCTAGAAAATGGGCAAGAGATCTGAAGAGACATTTTTCAAAGGAGAGACATGAATGGCCAACAGATACATGAAGAGGTACTCATATCACCAATTAGGAAATGTAAATCTAAACCATAATATCACTGCACATCTACTAGAATGGCTAGTATCAAAAAGATAAGGGAGGGGCCTTCCTGGTGGCGCAAGGGGTTAAGACGCAACCTATGAAGCTATCCGCAGCCACTACAGCACAAGTTCAGTCCCCGGCCAGGGAGCTACCCACATGGCACAGCAGACCTCTCCTGACTCACCCGCTGCTCCCCTCAGCAGTGTATTTCAGTCAGTCTGCCTGTTCTGTTCCCCACTCTGTCTCTGGTGAATCCTCTCACCCCCTGCACCTCTGGCCTATACCCCAGTTCTTGTATGCATAAATAAATAAATCTTTTTTAAAAAAGATAAGGGAATGCAAAAACAGACAATTATAAATCAGAGACATACTGCAGGGGAGGAGGAGGGAGAAGGATCAGAGCGAGAGAGGGAGGAGCACAGGGGACTGTGGTGATGGTGCATGGGGTGCATTGGTGAAGGAAACTCTATGGGGACTACACCTGAGGGGGTGGGAGGAAGCAAATATTGCTTAAAAATGAACATTGATGTAAAAAATTAAAAAAATTAATTAAAAAAATTTAAAAAGATAAGGGGATACAAATGCTGGGGACGTGGAGAAAAGGGAATCCTTGGGCACATTTGGTGGGATTATAAATCGGTGCAGCTACTATGAAAAACAGTATGAAAACAGTGTGAAATGGTATGGAGGATCCTTAACAAATTAAAAATAGAAACACCGTATTATCCAGTAATTCCACTTCTGGGAATACAACTGAAGGAAATGAAAACACTATGTCAAAGGGAGATCTGCACTCCCATGTTCAGAGCAGCATTATTTATAACAGAAACCTAGTAGAAACAACCTGAGTGTCCAAAGCTGGATGAAGGGATAAAGAAGTCGTGGTATGAACAGCCATGAGTTGGTAACGACTGGGATAGGTCCTGAGGAATGTGTGTTGTTAGGTGATTTTGTCGCTGAGCCAAAGTCATACAAGTGACCCATGACACTGTATGTTAGGGCCTTTTGGAGCCCCGTCACGTCGAGGTCTGTCATTGACCCCAAAGTGCTGGCACATGGCTGTGTATGCAACAGAATATTATTCAACCACAAAAAAGAAAACCCTGCCTTTTGCAACAACATGGACAAAGTTGGAAGATGTTATTCTAAGTGAACTAAGCTAGACATGGAAGAATAGAAACTACATGATCCCACATAAATGGAGTGTAAAACTGAAGCAGAAAGAAGAGAGAGTCCCCCTTCATCCCCAACTGCTCGAAATATCCTATAATCTTTATGCTTTTATCCCTAGCGGCCTCTGGGTTCCGTATTTTCCTTGTTCCCTTCCAAATCTAGCTGGATTACAAAGTTTATGAAAGAAACAAAGCTTATAAAAGAAACAATCAACAGCAACAAAGAAACTAGAGATACATAAAAACCAAACACAGAGCATAAACCTTCTTAAATCCTGGTTTTAAAAAGGCCATCAATGCATTCTTGGGGTAATAGGGAAAATTCAAATATGGGAACCAGATATTAGAGGTTATGGAAATATTAATTTTTAAGGTTTGATAACAATACTATACAGGAGAATGTCCCTCTCTGGGGCATGCAGGCCAAAGCATTTAAAGGTGACAAGTCATGAACTCTGCAACTTATTTACATGGTTGAGAAAAAAGTTTATTTACCTACATATATAAGTTTAAAAATGGCAGAATGTTAAGAACGATTGAATCCAGATAGCGACTATATGATGTTCATTACACTATTCATTCAAATTTTCTGTATATTTACAATGTTTCATAATAAAAAAGAACAAAACAGCAATGTCATAAAATTAAAAGAAACTAAATGCAGTGTGGTACCAGAGTAAGGTCCTGAAACAGAAAGAACATTCGAGGAAAAACTGGTGATATATGAGTGAAGTCTATTATAGTTAATGGTGCTTTAACTCCTGGTACGTGTAGCATGGCCACATAAGATGCTAACATTAGGTTCCCCTAATATTGAAGGGGACTTCCTGCACTATTTTTGCTAATTTTCTGTAAATCTAAAATCATTCCAAAATGAAAAAAAAAAAAAAAACAAAACTTTAAAGGAGGGCAACAAGTAAATAAAAGCTAGAAAGGTTTTTTTTGTATTTTAAAATACATGTAATTGAACAACATCAAGGCCCAGTCTCTATAGCGACCTTCCCCAAATCTCTAATTTGGTACCAAAAAACTCCAAACATGACAAAAGTTTCCATAGGCCCATGTATGGGACAGAAGGGGTGCCGCTGGCTGGACATTGGGCTTGCAAGCCAGGCAGGCGCCTCGGTCCTTGGAGGATGGAGCCACATCTGGGGAGCTGCCATCTGGGGAGATCCTTTTTCTCCTATTCTCCTGGTGCAGCAGAGCTTTCTTTAGTTCAGCAAAGAGACAGGTTGAGATGTGCGCTTGTGCAGCATCAACTGCAGAAGAGCTGTGAGGAGGAGGGGTACAGCGTCAATTCATGCACCTTCCCTGGTCTCTGGAGCACAAGCTTACCCGAAGTTTCCTAGCCACACCCACCCTTCCAGGCAGAATCAGATTAACAAATTGCAGTGTTAGGAGATATCTGTGCAATTCCTGGAAAGTCTAAAAGGCTTTCATTCATATTATCTCATTTAGTTCTAGAGGAATGTGGGACACTTGGCCCCACCCCCACTGTCACTGACTTATAAAAACTGTCGCCCTGCAGGAGCCTTTCCACGAGCAGAAGATTCTAGAGCCCCAGCCCACAAGGAATCCAACTACTCCACTCACTCCAAGACCAGCTCTTCCCACAGGCCCCGGTGGCTTCACCCCAGACTCCTGCTAACCACAGTCATGCCTTCTCTCTGCATTCTACAGTGCTTATACTGACCAACCAGAACAGGAAAGGTGGGTAAAAATGATGGAGGATTAGAATAGAGAAACTGGAAAGGAGATACAAGGTCAAGAACCTAACTCACAGAAGGAGGTAGGGGTAGAAGGATTAGCATACTCCATTAACCCAGTTATAGAAACCAAGACCCTTTAGGCAACAACGCCCAGATCAGGAGGTGCAACACCCAGAAACTATCAGACAGCTATAGGGAGTGTCAGGGGCACAAACCATCCACCCACAAAGAGGAGCCCCTCCTTGGAGATGAGAAAACCTAACGCAGCCCTCACAACGGGGCGGCACTCCCACTGCCCACCTGTGACTATGCAGGTGCTTCCTCTCACCAACTCTCTCCCTCCGCAGGGCAGCAGCCTCCTGCCTGCCTGTGACCTGTACCTGCCGGGGCTTCTCCTCACTGACCTCCCTCAGCAGAGTCTGCTCCCCTCAAGGCTGCCCCCCTGCAACCATGCAGGCCTCTCTCTGCAAACCTGTCCCTTTTGGGGCAGCTCTTCCTGTCCGCTTGTGTCTGTGCAAGTGTCTTTTACTATACTATCCCTTTTCTAATAAAGCTGTTCTTTAAATATCACTACCGTCTCTGTCTCGTGCAGAAACTCGACGCATGCCACCGAAATGGGAGCTCCGGTGACACCTTTCCCAGAGTGAACCCTAGGACCCCGTGCTCTACAAAACTCCATCAAAAACACTGTTGGTCTTTTATCATAAAGGGGCTGTGGATATGGCTGAAATCCAAGCAAAAATCTATGATTTTTTGGAAAGCAACCTCAATTTGATAACATTTATGTGCTGCTGGGACAGGGTGGTGGTTAAGAGCATGGGGTATGGAGACACAGCCGGTGTGCAGTCTCAGCAGAAAGTTCTATCGGACAGTACAAGCCCAGAGTGCCACTTGCAGCTCACCCGGCAACTCACCTGGTGGTGGTGCTAATAGGCCTGGTTTCTCCCCAAGCAGTGGGCGCTTGGCAGGCTTATGAGGCAGGCTCCCCAAAAGAGCAGGCCTTTTGGAGGGGGCTGCCAGAAGCAAGGGTGGGGGAAACAGGCCTTTGGTATTGACTGGTTCTGCAGAGAACAAAAACCAAAACATAAACAAGGAGACACAAGAACCGATTCCAGCTGCTCACCCCAAAGGGACCTTCCCCACAATTTAGAAAGGGGCTGAGCAGAGAGTCACCAGGCACACCAGGCCCAGCCTCAGCCCTTCAAAGCTCTACCACGTCCAATTGAGCCCCGACTGCTCCTCGGTGGTGAGCAAACTAGAGTCTCGGGGCCAAACCCGGCCTGCTATCTGTTTTCTATGGCGTGCAAACCAAGAACAGCTTTCTCATTTTTAAGTGGTTTCATTTTAAATGGTTATATAAGTACATGCAGAATATTTTTGACTTTGCTTCTTGGTCACAAAACCTACAATAGGGGTCTCCCTGGTGGTGCAAGGGGTTAAGGTGCAGCACTATGAAGCTATCCACAGCCTCTGCAACACAAGTTCAATCCCCAGCCGGGCAGGGAGCTATCCACATGGCGCAGTAGACCTCTCCTGTCTCACCAGCTGCTCCCCTCAGCAGCGTATCTCTGTCAGCCTGCCTGTTCTGTTCCCCACTCTGTCTCTGGTGAATCCTCCCACCCTCCACCTCTGGCCTGTACCCCAGTTCTATGCAAAATAAATAAATAAATATTTTTTAAAAAGGAGTGTATAAACAAGTATTTAGAAAAGGAGTAGAGGGAGTGCCTCTACTCCTACAGTGTAGGAGTGCCTACAGAAGAGTTAAAAATCCTTTCCCTCAAGAGGCAGGAAAAGCCCTGACCCTAACATACTGGAACCACAGAGGAGTATGTGGCTAAGCACTTGAAGTCTGGACCCCAAATGATTAGATACACCCAGTCTCCTCCCAGAGGTGAGGGTGGCTGTCCAATGAACCCCTTTGAGCACCAGGGCCCACTCAGGCCTTAAGTTAGTCAACTGGGCATTTCCAGTTAATACAAGTGAATCAAGTCTCTTGTTTTAAGCTAACTTGCATTGGATCCCTGTCATCTACAGTGGAAGGAGTCCACAGAAATACAGCCTCATTTTAGGCAGATGTGGGACACTATTTAGTACCAACTGCTCAGAAAAGAAAACTTGAAAACATGACTGAATTCAGAATGCTTTTGTGACAACTTGATTTCATGGCTCTAACTGTGGCCACAGTCCTGGTAGAAAAGCATCTCTGAACTTCTCCCTGTATTAAAACATAGGCAATTCATTCAAGAGGAATAGCACCCACTGAAACCCAGTGTTCCCCCCAGTCTTCTGAAATCTTTTTTTTTTTTAAGATTTATTTTTATTTATTTATGCATAGAAGAACTGAGGTGTAGGCCAGATGTGCAGGGGAGGGAAGTGAGAGGATTCACCAGAGACAGAGTAGGGAGCAGAACAGGCAGATCTACTGAGATACACTGCTGAGGGGAGCAGCGGGCTAGACAGGAGAGGTCTACTGTGCCATGCGGGTAGCTCCCTGGCCAGGGATCAAACTCATGCTGCAGTGTCTGGTGATAGATTGATAGCCCTGAGACTTTAACCTCTGCACCACCTGGGAGGTCCTCTTATGAAATCTTAGCCTTCATTAGAAGCATCACAATGAACACTGACATTGCCCTAAATGGCTCTGCTTTCTCGGGCAACTCTCCCGGCAGTGGGAGAGCTACTGTCCCATCTTATTCCTGGAGGGAAGCACTGACCTGGTGGTGGAAGGAGGCCTCCCCCTGGCCGGGCACCCAGCAAAGGAGACTTGGTAGGAAACGAGGGAGCAGGCCCTAGGAAGGCTCGCCTTCTCGGGTTTGGAAGAAGTGGAGGCGGCTTGCCCACAATGGGGGTACTCCTGCCTTGCAGTGAGGCATGATCACTGCTAGTCACAGGATTGGGTGTCTCAAAGCCTGGAAAAATGAAGAAAATAAACGGTGAGCAGAAGTCAGCTGCGGAGACCAGCCAGTTACACAAAGAACAACTCAGGCAATTCAAGGAAAATCACCTCTTTTTCTGACTTAGAGGTTTTTACAGTAATAAAAAGGCTGTTGTGTTTTAGATTTGTGGGTTCCTTCCCCACTCTAAGTATAACAAAAGTGTACAAAAAATAAAACCATTCTGCATTTTAGAAGATGAAGAATATCTTTATTCTTTTGTTTCTTATTTTTGGAACAGTATCTTTAAAGTTTTAACCTGGTCCTGTACCTTCAGCTACTTCTTCCTCCGAGGAAAAGTGATTATCATTTTCTTTTCACTACTCAAAACAAGCAAATGTGGAAAGTGACTATACTTCAAAGAGTTTGGCTTCTAACTGGAATGTTCTTTAAAATATTCAAGATTATGAACTGCTTCTTCACAGTTACCATACCCTTAGAAGTAATCTTTAAAAGGTGTCAATTAAGAAAAACTGAAATAGAATTAGAAAAAATAGGGGCCTCCCTGGTGGCACAGCGGTTGAGCACTGGGTTGCGAAGCTGCCTACAGCCTCTGCAGCGCCAGTTCGATCCCTGGCTGCTCCCCAGCCACTGGAGGAGGGTCCCACATGATGCGCAGACCTCTCCTGCCGCCCGCTGCTCCCCTCAGCGGTGTACTTAGGTCCTTCTGCCTGCTCTGCTCCCCGCTCTGGCTCTGGTGAATTCTCTTACCCTCCCGCGCTTCTGACTGTACCCAGGGCTTGCATAAACAAACAAACAAACAAACAAATAAATAAATCTTTTAAAAAAAAAGTAAAAATAAAACTGATAGAGAATGGGGATGATACAGCCATCCTACACATCCACTTACACAGAGAGGTAATCCTATTTACATATTAAAAATCGGGCTCAAAGAAAATTTAGCTTCAGAAGAAGCAGGTTAGTGGATAAAGGTCAACCATTAAAATAGTATTTTCCTGGGCCTCGCCAGCGGCGCATCGGGTTGAGCACCACACTGTGAAGCTGTCCACAGCCTCTGCAGCATGGGTTCGATCCCAGCCAGCCGGCGAGAATCCCACATGGCACAGCAGACCTCTCCTGTCTCGCCTACTGCTCCCCTCAGCAGTGTATTTCATCAGTCTGCCTGTTCTGTTCCCTGCTCTGTCTCTGGTGAATCCTCTCACCCTCCCGCATATCTGGCCTGTACCCCGGTTCTTGCATGAATAAATAAATCTTTAAAAAAATAAAAATAAATTCTTAAAAAATAATAGTATTTTCCTATCTGGAAGACATGCAAATCACAGAGCTGTGTTCTCTTAGCTAAGCAAAAATGTCTTAATTTTCTTTCCTACCTGGGTTTACACAAAGGGATTTTCTGGGGATTAAAATGGGGAGGGAATGGGCCAGCGCCAAGTACCTTTCAGCTGTCCTTTCCTGGCCTTTAGGTAGTCGATGAGCAGGTCCAACTCATTCCGATACAGATGTCGCCTCTCATTCAGCAGGAAGAGAAGATGTTGAATGCCCAGAGGGACAGAGTAGCTGGGCAGGCACTCCCGGGCCAGAAAGTCATCCACCAGATCTCCGGCCCGCATGGCCACCCCGGTGCGCTCCTGCTGTTCCCGGTTGGCAAAAAGTCTCCTATATTCTTTAGCCACCAGCACCAGGGCATCCTCCAGGGGCATATGGCGATGTGCTAGGGACAAGAAAGAGCCTGCTTTACATCAAATGGGGTGCCCGGACTTCTTTAAAACATATTTGCAAAAGGAGAAAGAAAAATCAGACCATAACATAGCTAATGTAAACACATGTTGTTTAATCCATCTCAGCTTCAGGACAGATGCGATCGTCTACCAATTCAAGAGACTGGGACTCTCAATAGCAGGTGCCTTGTCGGATTTCCAAATCAAACACTATGCTCTGTTTTCAGAACCGTAACATGTGGCAGCCTGGTTTATGGTTTCATACAAGCCCTCATTTCACTACTGGACAGCTTCATGCCAAGCTAACAAGACAGAGAGAGGAGAAAGGGAGAACGAGAGTGAAGAAATACACGGGATGTTTGTCAAGGGATTTCTCACGGCTTCCCAAACCTAAAGAGGACAGGATACAACCTCCCTGGCTTCCCGCAATCCAGGTGTACGGCTCACAGAAGAAACCACCAAGAGCTGAGAGTGCAGCCTTCGGATTGCAGAGTAGGGGTGAGAAGAGTAAAGCAAAGGACAGTAATTTTCCATTAGAAACCCACTAGTGCTTATCCTTGAGCTTGGTGTGTGCAGCACTTTGATAAAAGACAGAAAGACCAACACCCTGGGCCGGGACTTCCAGGCTTTCTCTGCAGGACAAGGATTAACCCACCATCTCCACGTGGGTCTGCAATCTTTGGTTCGGCCCTCTGGGGTCTTAAGCCATGTTAAAAGCCTTTCCAGGTCAGGTCAGGAGCGGTCATGGTCCTGAACATCACATATAAAATAAATTCTAAGAGGGCCTCCCTGGTGGTGCAGTGGGTTGAGTGCCGCGCTGTGAAGCTGTCCGCAACCTCTGCAGCGTGGGTTTGATTCCCGGCCCGCCAGGGAGATTCCCACATGGCACGGCAGACTTCTCTGCCTCGCCCGCTTTGTCCATCTGCTTGTTCTGCTCCCCGCTCTGTCTCCAGTGGGTTCTCTCACCTTTCCGCACCTCTGGCCTGTACCCCAGTTCTTGTATAAATAAATAAATCAGGGCCTCCCCGGTGGCGCAGCGGTTGAGCGCTGGGTTGCGAAGCTGCCCGCAGCCTCTGCAGTGCCGGTTCGATCCCCCGGCTGCTCCCCGGCCACCGGAGGAGGGTCCCACATGGCGCGCAGACCTCTCCTGCCGCCCGCTGCTCCCCTCAGCAGTGTACTTCGGACCTTCTGCCTGCTCTGCTCCCCGCTCTGGCTCTGGTGAATTCTCTCACCCTCCCGCGCTTCTGACTGTACCCAGTGCTTGTATAAATAAAACAAACAAACAAACAAATAAATAAATCCTTAAAAAAAAAAAAAATAAATAAATAAATAAATAAATAAATAAATCATAAAAAAATAAAAATAAATTCCAGGCACAAGAGAAACTTGGACAGAACTTAAAGGCCATAGTCAATATACAGATGCCCGCTGATGTCTCCTAGGTATATGCTCTGGGAATAAGGTGTAATAAAGGTTTTCATCTCAGATGGGAACCCATTACCCTGTCTTATAAATACATTATTGGGTTCTGAACAAGTTCAGGACCCAAGGGGCACAATGGCACCTCCATGGAGATTACCATCTCAGGCTAAATTTTGACTGTGCTTACAAAGGTTCCATTTAGGAAGAAATATGAATATGTATTTGCCTTCAGGCATTGAAGTTTCATTGCTTGACCATTTTAAATGTTTCTTGGCACAGAAGCTGCTCCACACACTTCTAAATAATGGACATGTGCAAGGTATGAAACTGTTGACTAGAGCCTAGCTAAGATTAATTTTACTAAAATCAATGTAGTTTATAGGAGAAAGTACTTACGATTACTTATGATTTGAGCTCAGTAATTAAATTCACAGATGATCAACGGGGTATGGACCTATTAATACTATTTTGGACATAAACTATTTTCTGAATTTTTAACATGTTATAAGCAGATAGCATTGTTTTTTGAAGTAGTGCTATTAAATATTCTCATGTTGGACATATTCAATCTATTTACTTTGATGATAATTTGCTGAGTGATCCTGCCTGAACATAAGTAACTTGCAGAACACTTGGGTAACCAGATGTAACAGGCTTTTGCATCACCTGTTCCCCACTCCATCCCAAGAGTCTGGGGTTTCTAATTTTTATTTATTTATTTTTCTTTTAAAAAGATTTATTTATTTATTTATTTGTTTGTTTGTTTGTTTGTTTGTTTGTTTGTTTGTTTATACAAGCACTGGGTACAGTCAGAAGTGCGGGAGGGTGAGAGAATTCACCAGAGCCAGAGCGGGGAGCAGAGCAGGCAGAAGGACCAAAGTACACTGCTGAGGGGAGCAGCGGGCGGCAGGAGAGGTCTGCGCGCCATGTGAGACCCTCCTCTGGTGGCCGGGGAGCAGCCTGGGATTGAACTGGCGCTGCAGAGGCTATGGGTAGCTTCGCAACCCAGCGCTCAACCACTGCGCCACCAGGGGAGGCCCATGGGGTTTCTAATTTTTATTTTTTTTTTTTTTTTTTTTTTTAAGATTGATTTATTTATACAAGCACTGGGTACAGGCAGAAGCGCGGGAGGGTGAGCGAATTCACCAGAGCCAGAGCGGGGAGCAGAGCAGGCAGAAGGACCGAAGTACACTGCTGAGGGGAGCAGCGGGCGGCAGGAGAGGTCTGCGCGCCATGTGGGACCCTCCTCCGGTGGCCCGGGAGCAGCCGGGGATCGAACCAGCGCCGCTGAGGCTGCGGGCAGCTTCGCAACCCAGCGCTCAACCGCTGCGCCACCGGGGAGGCCCGGGTTTCTAATTTTTAAAAGCATGAATTTCATTTTACATTTTCAGAATATGGGTAACATAAATGATTTCATCTTATTATTTAAAATAGATTAGTCATTTTTTTATGCTTAGAAAAACTGCAGTTTCACACTCTTGAGAACAGAATTGAGAAAGAGCTCGCCAGGGGTATGGGTGGCTTAGGAGAAACAAAGCAGACGGACAGGTCAGAAGAAGAGAGGCCCCAGCACCTCCCGATGCTAGAGAGCCCATGTTCTTCACCATCATCTTTTCAGACCCAGAATTAGGGCTGCAGTGTAGAATCTCGAGTCTGACCGACTCCTCTGCAGGCTCCAGAAGCTCTAAACAGGATATAAATCCAGCTATAAATTATGCTCCCCAAGGGTTCTGGCCCAGGGAAAGGTCTCTGGACTTAGAAATGAAAATCCTACAATGCTAGGAACCTGGAGCAGGGGCGCAGGGCCTGCTGGAGAGCCTGCCATCTGTATGGCACCGGGCACATAGGACGGATTCAGCACGTCTGGACTGAACAGGACTGTACTAAGAGCTTCCGGGCTCTCTGGATATGATGGCACCAGATCAGTTCTCATATGAAGAAGTTTTGATTAAATCTCATACCACCTTTTCTACTGTTAGTGATAAGTAGATGAGTATCAAAGATGTCCTCCACAGAGAAGACTGCTCCTTTCTTGAAGCAGCAGCTCTATCCATACAAGAAAAGATGAGGGTGATTTATGACATGTGCATCTGCCTAAGTCTGTGTATTTTAGGCAGGAAAAAAGTCTCATCTTGGTGACCCTAAGGAAAAGAAATAAGTGAGGTATAGAGAAGGCAAAGTTGGTAAGAAAAGTTATCTAAGAGAATGGAGGGGATAAGAAACACTTTTTGACTTATCACTAAGAGTAGAAAAGGTGGTATGAGATTTAATCAAAACTTCTTCAGGGCCTCCCCGGTGGCGTGGCGGTTGAGCACTGGGTTGCGAAGCTGTCCGCAGCGTCTGAGGCACCGGTTCAATACCCGGCTGCTCCCGGCCACTGGAGGAGGGTCCCACATGGCGCGCAGACCTCTCCTGCCGCCCGCTGCTCCCCTCAGCAGTGTACCTTGGTCCTTCTGCCTGCTCTGCTCCCTGCTCTGGCTCTGGTGAATTCTCTCACCCTCCTGCGCTTCTGACTGTACCCAGTGCTGGTATAAATAAATAAATAAATAAATTTAAAAAAAAAAACTTCTTCATATGAGAACTGATCTGGTGCCATAATATTTTGAAGGAAATATTTTCCTAAGTAAGAATTAATAACAATTTAAGCTTCAATTGTCTATAATACACAGTAGAGTACGTTACGATACCAATTCATGTTATTTTCCCTCAACTAGACCCAATTTCGTTACTGATGCATGTCAATCTTCAAAGTGTACTAGTGTACAAAGAGAAAAATTTTAAAGCAGGATCTCTTTTAAGTGATAGTTCGAGATTAAGCTAAACTTACTTTTGACAGACTCATGAAGCATAATGACGGTGCAAGAGGAAAGTTTTACATTAGACTGTTCGACAAGAATACAAAACGGAGAGCCATCATCTTTAACTTCCTGGAGCACTTGAGTGAGACCTGACTCGGAGGAGAGGTGAATCATTTCCACCACAAGGCCGTGATCCTGCAACCGGTGACCTATGACTGTAGCATATTCCCTTAAAAAATACACACATATAAGAAAAAGGTTACTTTCAATCAAAGAATTCAACCTCCACAAACAAAAGGAGAAATATCTGTGTCATCAAGCAGTTGTTCCTCAAACACTTTGATATGCCCCCAATTTAAGTGAGGGGTAAGATAGCATATGTTTTTACTGTGCTTAGGTAAAAAGGTGCCTAATAGAAGATAGGATATTTTTTCAAAAATTATGCATTCTCGGGCCTCCCCAGTGGCACAGCGGTTTGAGCACCACACTGTGAAGGTGTGCGCAGCCTCGATTCCTGGCCAGCCAGGGAGAAACCCACGTGATGTGGCAGACCTCTCCTGCCTTGCCCGCTACTCCCCTCAGCAGTGTAAATCAGTCAGTCTACCTGCTCTGTTCCCCACTCTGTCTCTGGTGGATCCTCTCACCCTCCACAGCTCTGACCTGTACCCCAGTTCTTGTATAAATAAATAAATATTTTTAAAAAAAATTATTCATTCTCTACAACTTGTTTTCATTTTCAGACATGATGAAAACATTTAAGAGTATGTCATCCATCTGATCGAAGCAGTTAAAAGAACTAGAGGCAATGCTGACCGAAAAAAGACCTTACTTTTTTGACAATATAATGTCCTTATGTGATTGACTATGTACATAATTTTATAAAGAAAGCAGAGTATTTCAAAGTCGTGTTTCTATGTGGCACCACTCACTGGGTAAACACCATGAATGTTCTCAGCATGTTTTCAAAATGTAAAGTGTTATTTGATGAAGTCATTTCAATGTAAAGACCCTGAAAGTTTTTAAATTTTTTTTTTGAGATTTGTTTATTTATGCATACAAGAGCTGGGGTACAGGCCAGAGGTGCGGGGGCAGGGGGTGGTGAGAGGATTCACCAGAGACAGGGTGAGGAGCAGATCAGGCAGATCTACTGAAATACACTACTGAGGGGAGCAGCGGACGAGACAGGAGAGGTTTGCTGCACCATGTGGGTATCTCCCTGGCTGAGGATCGAACTCATGCCTCATGCTGCAGTGGCTGCCTATAGCTTGATAGCACTGAGACTTTAATCCCTGTGCCACCAGGGAGGCCCCCACATATTACCTTGTTAGATTGCATGTGGGAGAAATAGGAATTGTGGCTTCTTTATCTTTATGTTACTCCTTGTGCCTTAGCCCAGACCTTTACCTTTACCTAACAGGTGTATGTTAAACATATATTCAAATGAATTAAAAATTAATATCATGGCAGAAAAAATGTTTTTCTGGCAACTTAGGAGAGTAGGAATTATTTCTGAAAATAAATTCCAGAAGAGAACAAGAAAAACATGACATGGTTCCTATTGACAGAGTGACGGCCTGTGAGTCAAAATTATCACAAAAATAATTCACATTGGATGACATGACAAGAAATTAATTACTGCTTTGGAGTATAAAGGAATGAATTAGTCAACTAATTTATCACTACAAATCTTTCTGACATCAAAGTGACAACAGACCAAGCAGCGTGACCTGGGTCCCGGGCTCCGCAGCAGATGTAGGCTGCGTGTGGTGGAGGGGCCTAGGACCCTCTCACAGCGAGAGGCCACAACCACAGACAGGCAGAGCTGGGGGGATCTGAGGGACTGTTTTCCCCGAGGCGGGGTGCGCTCGGGTTACTACCTGACTTTGGAGATGGAGCACAGCAAGGACATCACGGTGGTGAAAGCGAATGGCCGCTGGATCAGCAACAATTCTAAAGAAGCGTGAGATGCTACTAGTCCAATGAGGCGCCTGCAGTGGGTTTTGCAAAAGCTCCTCTAGCCACAGGCTCAGTAGCTTCCCTGAAAGATGCAGGGTATCATGCACTCTGCTGAATGATGAGGGAAAAGACAGCTGCTCTGGATGCTGAGCATTTACTGCCTGAGTTCAGAACTGGCTTAAATGACTACATGATCAAATTAGTCCAGGCCATAACTGGTTGTCTTTCAATTATTAGAGGGAAAGTCCATAATTTCCTAGTATAAAAGGAATAGGCCTCTTCCCCCAACCCCATGCAGTACTGACCTCATTTCTTCCAGTATGCTAGCACCCGCCATCCAGCCCAAATACCCTCCAAATGAGGTGGAGCGATAATTCTGCTTTCACCCATTCTTATAGTAAAGACGCTATCTGCAAATAAAGTTGGTTTTTGTAAAGGAGCTACTATAGAATCAAAATGTGAGGCATTTTAAGATTGCAGATTTTCACATAAACAGTAAGAAAACCAACGTTGCCTTCATACTGTGCTCTGTTTTGTGCATGTCTCCGGTTCTCATCATGGCTGGGTCTTCAAGGTCACTCAACCCAGCTGGGATAAGCGTGCAAGCCTCCAACCAACCACTTGTCTACATGCCAGTCTCTTTGCCAAGCACTATGGAACCCAACATAATTTCAAGAGACATGGTTACCCCCTCAAGAGTCAGCCAATGGTGTACAAGATCAGGACACTATGCAGTTTCCAAGACAAAATGGAGACAATCATGACAGCAGGAGTAACGGGGAAGACCTCCCAGCTGACTGGATGCAACTTATGTGGCACAATGAGCTAGGCAGATCAAGAAGAGGGAACAGACCCCCCATGCTGAAGGAAAAATAGCACAGACAAAGGCTAAGGAACTCAGAAGGCAGTGAACAAATGTGCGGAAGCTTCTCTGAAAGGTCAGTAAGGCCAACTTTGTGTCAGTGGCCCAAATCAGTTATGTTGTCTAAAGTAACCCCAGAGCCTAGAACAGTCCCTGGCACTTGGTCCCAAGCACTAAAAGCAGCTTTTCTTTTTCTGATTATAAAACTGATAAGTGTTTTTTTCCCCTGCAATTATAATATCATAGAAAACTCAAGCAATACAGAAAAGCTGAATAAATCAGAAATCATCCATTCACAGGTTGCTTCTACTATCAGTTTGGTAAGCCCAACAGCATAATCTTTGTAATTCCGAGAACAGTGTTGTAACACAGCATTTCCAGAGCTCATCTCTCAGAGATGTAGGTATTCAAGGCCAACACTTGAATACTTGGTTTGTGTCCATTCTCACTTGACACCTTGAAACGAATAAATCTACCTTTGCTCTTTGTCCATGGAAACAATAATGCAATCTGAAGACCTCTCTCGATCACGCTCTTTCTGAATCACTTGACAAAAGTGCTGGAAAAGACCCTCTTTCTGAGTGTCCCTGCTGCTGGTAGCATCATCTGAAAATATTGATAAAAATATTGAAAATATTTGATGAAAATATTGATGCATTCATGCTTTTTGCAAGGCCAAAAGTAATCACTGGAGGTTGTCAGGATTTCTTTTGAAAGACAGCACCTCTACAAAAAAATTGACAAGAAAAATAAAGCAGGATCTCACCAAGATTCTTACCTAACTGAGAGTGTTGGTCTTGCTCGTGGTTGTCTTCATCCCCTTTTGAACAATCAGCCACATTCTTCCATAATTCTTCAATACTGTCCAATGCATGAAAATAGTCATTTGTGCAAATATAGTTTCCCTCTAAATGTGCCTCCAAAAGCAAAAATAAATAAATACTAGCTCACCTAGTGCAATACTGTGACACTTAAACAAAGGTAGTGTCTACTTTAGAGGTAAAATGGTATTCAACAGTTTGTTCTCATTTTATAATATTAGGAGTTTCTGGAATTTTTTGCCCTTTTCCATTCATTTCATCTTGACTGTTAGGGTGGAAAGTACTTTATGGAGCCACTGATTTCTGTCTATATCTGACAGATATAGACAAATGGAAAATACATACTTTAAGGTATTTATTCTACAGGACAAAAGATAATCTTACCAGAGACGTTCATCTTTTAAACAAATGTACAAAAGCTTCTCTGAAAGGTCAGTAAGGCCAACTTTGTGTCAGTGGCCCAAAGCAGTTATGTTGTCTAAAGTAACCCCAGAGCCTAGAAGAGTCCCTGGCACGTGGTCCCCAGCACTACTAAAAGCAGCTTTATTTATTTATTTATTTATTTATTTATTTATTTATTTATTTGTTTATGATTTATTTATACAAGTACTGGGTACAGTCAGAAGCGCGGGAGGGTAAGAGAATTCACCAGAGCCAGAGCAGGGAACAGAACAGGCAGAAGGACTGAAGTACACTGCTGAGGGGAGCAGCGGGTGTGGCAGGAGAGGTGTGCGCGCCATGTGGGACCCTCACCGGCAGCTGGGGATCAAACTGGTGCTGCGGAGGCTGCGGGCAGCTTCACAGCCCAGCGTTCAACCAGTGCGCCACCGGAGAGGCCCTGAAGCCTTTTTTAAAAAAAGATTAATTTTATTTATTTATGCATACAAGAGATGGGGTGTAGGCCAGAGGTGAGGGGGGCGGGGGGAGGGTGAGAGGATTCACCAGAGACAGAGTGGGGAGTAGAAAAGGCAGATCCACTGAAACATACTGCTAAGGGAAGCAGTGGGTGAGACAGGACAGGTCGGCTGCTCCATGTGGGTCAGCTCCCTGGCTGGGGGTCAAACTCGTGCTGCAGATAGTTTCATAGTGCTGAGACTTAACCCCTTGCACCAACAGGGAGACCCTACTGCAGAAGGTTTTTATTGGATATGGGTAAAAAATGAATCCATAAGATCTGCTCCCTAAGCTCCTTTGAGCAAGCCAATTTCTTTGCTAAAGGCATGCAAAATAGTGTACAGATGCTGGGTGATCTATTATCAGCCATCTAAAGCAGTTCTCTTTGCTATGTTTGAACAGAAGGAATGAGTTGCACCATGTACCCTAAACCAGGCATTTTTATTGCAGTCCCTAGCACCAGACACCAGTGTTTCTGTCCACAAAGAGTGTCCTGCCAGGGACAGAACCACCTCAGCAGGCATCTGTCAACTCTTTTCTCACTAGGGGCATCACACTGCCTGGGGCATTGATCACAGGACACACCCAGTCAAGTCAGGGCTATTAAACAAGCTGCCAGTAAAAGCCTATAGCTCTGCTTAACCCTCACGAGTTTCCTTCAGGTTCTGGGCCACATCTAACCTCCTGATGGAGGAGAGGCATCTGAGCCCTTCCTTCCCCTTCTGCCCTGAGAACCCTGAGCTTCACAAGAAACTTCCTCGCCCAGGTAGGCTTTCTCTTACTATTATCTCGGCCCCAACACTGGCCACTGACTCCTGAGGCCACTCTTTAAACTACCTGCTTTCTCTGCCCCTTGCTCCATCATGCTCTTGCTGGTTTTTCCTCAAACTTTACCTCCCACCACTTCGCTAAGCAATTAGAAGGCACTAGGAGGACCCCAGAAGCTGGACCTTGGTCATTCAGGAAAGGCAGTGGTCTGGGCTTGGATCTCAGCACTGTCGCTTACTAACTAGGTAAGTCTGAATGAATTGCTTAGCTTATTACACCACAGTTATTAGGGAAAACCTACCTTTTGTGTTGCTGTGAGGATTAAATGAGTTAATACAGGTAAAATCTTTCTATAGAACAGTGCCTAGTGCAGAGCAGGCCCTCAATAGATGTAAGTCATTATTCTCCATCTCTGTCTTCAGGCTTCTTTTACACTAAGAAAACCTCTCCAGAAGACCACCTCACAGCACAAGAATTCTAAGTCTCATTTTAAGAAAATGTTACCTGAGAGAAACTAACCTCCATTAACAGTCACTCCAGAATCCTATACTTCCAAGAGCTTCTGCAGTTGTGGAAAAGCATTTTTCAATTTTAAATTATTAATCTAATCTGACACAAATCTCATCTTTAATGCAAGCAAGAGAGAGGATCTGTCAAGGTTGATACATATAAAAATCAATTCAAATACAGTTCAAGGAAAACTGCATTTACCAAAACTACAGAGGTAGATCCAAGGCAAAAAAATCTTGAACTGCCATGCTGATTTACTCCGCTGTTGAATAAAGACAGAGTAAATATCCTTCAAAACTGGTTTACATGCACACTGGTTAAGAACAATGAGGGTGAAGAATCCTCCCTGACATACTTTTAAGTAAAGGAGGCAAGTTCCAGAACCATCTACCAGTAAAAACAAGGAAAAAATTGATGTGCTCTGAAAATATGTTTGCTTTTTATTATCAAACACTTTAAAAAAAAAAAAAAAACCCATTGAGTTTATTGTGTTCTTCCCATCACCTTCAGTACTCTCCCAGAGAAAAAGTTCGAGCAGCACATTTTTTACAATTTCATGGCATTTTAAAAATCCATTTATTTATGTATATTTTACATCATTGTTCATTTTTGTACATTGCTTTCTCCACTCAGGTGTAGTCCCCACCACCAGTTCACCAGTGCACCATCACCATAGTCCCTTGTGCTCTTTCCTCCCCTGTTTTGATCCCTCTCTCACCCTCTATTCTGAAGAATGTCTGATTTATATTATTAATGTCTTATTTATGTCTGTTGATTTTGGTTTTTTAATTTATTATTTTTTTTCCTGATCCCTTATTTGGTTCCCCTATATTCCTCCTATAAGTGAAATCTTCCAATATTTTTTCTTTTTCCTTCTGGTTTATTTCACTGAGGATAATCCCTTCTGGCTCCATCTATTTATTTTTGTGTTGAAGAACTGAGGTGTATAGGCCAGAGGTGCAAAGGAGCAGGGGGGCCGTGGTGGTGTAAGAGGATTCACCAGAGACAGAGTGGGGAGCAGAATTGGCAGATCTACTGAAATACACTGCTGAGGGGAGCAGTGGGCAAGACAGGAGAGGTCTGCTGTCCCATGTGGGTCAGCTCCCTGGCCAGCGATGGAACTCGGGTCGTAGCTAGTGGTGACAGCACTAGTGGTCATAGCTAGTCATGAGACTTAACCCCTAGGCCACCAGGGAGGCCCCCTCAAACACTTTTATATCTATCTGTCCATTCCTTGTGTTAAAAATAGCTTTTTGAAAGTAACTTAGATTTATACTTGGCTCTGGAGTACAATCTTATAATAAAATTTATTTGGTTTTTTTTTTTGAGCATATGCCAGTGGTTAGATGGTAGTGTGGTGGTATGGAAGAAGGGAGTCTAGGTCCTGCTACAGATAACCCACAAAGTGGGTAACCCACAGGGAGCTGGCTGAAAACCCATGGAAGAAAGGCCTGGAAGCTGTGCCCCTTCTGTCTATGGGTTTGCTATTGTTACTGGCGTCCAAATGATGGTGGAAAGGTAAAAGTTAAAGCAGAATGGCTTAATATGATTGAGCTGACCTGAGGGACTTCCCAGAAGGCAAATATTAATAACATCAATTTTAACAAACACATAAGTCTGCACAGTAAGAACACATCTAAATTACTACTAAAGCTTTTAGCAAATTGAGCCACAACAATAAAATTTTACCTTAGCATGTCTTCACCCTCCTTTAAGTAGCCCTCTTGGGGAGAATAAGAAGTCGGCAGAAAAGGTTTATATGGTTTACTGCTAAAAAACCAACAAAGACAAAATTACACTTAAGAAGAAATTATTTCCCGTAGTCCATACATTAGTTTCCACAGTTCTGGTACACTCAAAGGTGATTAACTCTTCAGTTAAACTGCATTTTAAAAAGTCTAACAATGGTTTTTCTCAAGACTTCTGGATTTTTTTTCCAGCATATCCACTCTATTTTATAGTGCCTATTTCTATTTTTATGAAGTGTGTTTTGCCCAACTGCTTTGCAGAATTGACAACGAAAGGCACGGTTCTGTTGCAAGAAAAAGTGCTACGAACTCACCGACAGAAAGGGACTTCAACATCATGAATCTGAATCATCCAATTGAATTAAACCTAAATATAAGCATGGAATATTGGAGGTGTTTGGTAATTACCTGTTTTTAAAAACCACCCCTATAACATATACAATAAGGTAGACCAGTGTTACCTTGTTGCAAAGCAAACCAATCTGGAAAGACAATTGTAGGCATATGAAATAAAGTATTTAATTTGCTTTTAAAATAGGTTTCTTTTTAACTTTCTCTTTGCAAGATGTTTCACCAACATCATCATAAACGTTCAGGGGTCATGGACCACTGCATTTGACACTAATTCCATGGAGCTTATGAAAGAAAATTCCTAAACGTGCATCAATTCTGAGTACTAAATAAACATCCTTGATTAAGACTACTGCTATGTTTACATGCCAAGTGCATTTTGACACACACGGACACCATCCTCCTCAGGTGCGAGTTGTGTGGTTAACATATAACGTGGATCTAAATCTAAGACAAAAATAAAGGGCAAAGTCTAAGAAGAAAATGGCTGTTCCAGATTCTTGGCGGAAACAAAAAAGGGGCTAAATAAGATTAACCATTATGAATTGGGCTGAGAGGGTTAAAGAGTTACTAGAAAGCATTCTGCTTCCAAAAAGGATAAGGAGCACAGATGCTCTGCTCGACCCTCTTCTCGACGATCCCAGCCAAGTTTGAAGGCCATGAGAAGGAATAAGCAGATGGTCCAATGTGAGCAAGTCAAAAGGAAGTTGCATTTGCCTTATTCGGCTTCCTAGCAACTAGACTGAATGATGCCAAGAAAACCAGCCTGCTCTAAGGAGAAACGCTGCAGGAAATTTGGAACCCCGTGGTCAGGCAGAGGAGAGGCCTCCAGACACCCCCACCTGGCAAAACCAATCCTGGGCCTACCAACACCCACACTTTCCAGCCCCCCAGCACCTCCATTTCCCTTTCAGTTCCAGCTCCAGCCTACCTGGCCTTGCTAATGTCAACCCCTGACTAGTCAAACTTCTTCCCCAACAACCTTTCAAACTCCAGTCGCATAGATGAGCAATCTGGCCCGGCAAAGAATAACTTCCCACTGCTCCCTGGGAGGGAGGCCTCCAAGCACACTTAATGAAACGTGGCCAGCTGGACAGAGGCTTCCACAGCGCTCAGACACTGCAACCTAAGGCTGGGAGAGCCAGGCATTTTCTCCCAAAAGCCTGAGAAACATCCCTCCCAAAGCCACGGTGTATTTCCGTCCCTCTGCTTGCAAATAGTCCCAACTAACCTGGGGATTCCCGAATGCACCGTGTAACGGAATCACACTCTGGCACGAATCATTTTTGTGAAAGCAAATAAATATGCATAGGAAAAAATTCCCAGTAGTGCTAACGGCCAAGGAAAGACCTGAACATTAATAAATGCAAGGTTCCCCTGAGGCCTGGTAATGTTACTCTTTTGCCATATTCTCTGTGGCCTCCCTGTTATTGGTAGCACCCTTAAAACTGCAGTTCTTGGGCCTCCCCGGTGGCGCAGCGGTTGAGCGCTGGGTTGCAAAGCTGCCTGCGGCCTCTGCAGCACCAGTTCGATCCCCGGCTGCTCCCTGGCCACCAGAGGAGGGTCCCACATGGCGCGCAGACCTCTCCTGCTGCCCGCTGCTCCCCTCAGCAGTGTACTTCGTCCTTCTGCCTCTGCTCCCCGCTCTGGCTCTGGTGAATTCTCTCACCCTCCTGCGCTTCTGACTGTACCCAGTGCATGTATAAACAAAACAAACAAACAAATAAATCATAAATAAATAAAAATACATGCCTCTTTAAAAAAAAAAAAACCTGCAGTTCTCTTACTCACTGTAATGGGGCAACCACTGTCAAATGGACAATGGAACTTAGAGTTACAAACACATCTTGGGAAGTAAAAACAGTTTCACAGATATTCAATATGTTTTCAATGTGTTATACTTGAGCCTCACGATAATCATGCCAGCTGGGGAATATCAACCTCCCCAACCACACTTTTTAATAACAGATGAGGAAACTGAGGCCCAGGTCAGATGACTTGCCACACAGCTGAGCTGTGATGCCCGTTTTCAAATCCAGATGTATCTGACTTTAAAACCCAGGCTCCTTTCAATGTCTTAGTCCAGAAATTTCCCCCAGGAGGTATGTAAGTTAAACAATCAGGAAAGCAATGAAAGAAGGACAAATGCGAGGGGTAAAAATATTGAGTCACTCTAAATTTTTATGGAAAGTAAATCCCCATAAGCATAAAAAATTCTCACTTGAGAATATAAGAGTATGAGCTGCAGAGGAAAATGGCTCTCTGCCATGCTACAGCAGGCAACAAGCCTCTGCCACACGTCTGGGTGGCCTGGCTCTGCAAGGACGATTCAGAGCTGAAGCCTCAAGACTGATGTGGAGACCAGGACCCTCACATGCCACTTCAGCTAATGCAACAGGGTACAAGCACCTAAGAAAACAGTTGCAAAGTGTCTTAAAAAGGAAAATCTACAGAACCCAGCGAGTTCACTGTTAGATATTCACCCAGTTAAAAATGAAAGCGCCCATCTGCACAAGACAGGCACAACAATGTCCACAGCAGCTCTACAGCGACAGTTAAAATCTGGAAACGACCCTCAGTTGCGGAATTGTTGTGGGGAGAGGATGTCCTGAATGAACCCCACAAACTCAGGTTTTATGGACTCCACCCCAGGCCAAAGAGATACCAGGCACCAAGGACTGAAAATCATCACCGCCAAAGCAAAGATTGCTGGGAACTGAGGGTGGAGTTAAGCAGCCAAGCTTCGTGTGGAACCAGAGACACGTGGGCCTCGGGGAGTTGGTTTTTCAACAGCCTTCAGCGCTTGGGGTCCCAGCTCAGCAGAACTGATAAAATGCATTCACTAATCTCTCTCTCTTCCTGGATTATTCCTCTTTTCATTCCCCCTTTTTGTAAACAGACCCTTTTTAACCTGTTTGTGTGTGTCTGCAGTTGGGTCTCATGATAAGTTTTTTTTAAGCATGAGGGTGAGGACCCACACTCAGGCCAACCCATTTCACATCGGGGTTGCCCTGTAAAAGAATGAGAAAACAAACCATGGAGCCACACACCTTAGTCTGGTTGGGCTGCCATACAAAATACCAGAGCTCGGGAGACTTAAGAGCAGAATTCCCTTTTCTCAGAGTTCTGGAGGCTGGGAGCCGGATGAGGAGGCCAGCTTGGTGGAGTTCTGGCAAGAGTGCTCTTCCTGGCTTTCAGATGGCCACCTTCTGGCTGTGTCCTCACAGCCCTTCCTCGGTGCATGCACACGTGGAGAGGAGATACTCTTCTTACAAGGCCACCAGCCTTATGGGATTAGGAACCCACTGTTTCCATCTCATTTAACCCTAATCTCCACCTAAAAGCCCTATTTCTAAATAAAGTTATGTTGGAGGTTAGGACTTTGACATATGAATTATAGAGGAGAAAAATTCTGTCTATACTGTTGTGGGAGAAGACTGGAGTGAGGCCGGAGAAGAGGGGTGGGTGTAGCGGGGGGTGGTGTGGTGTGTGTGTGTGTAAAAGAATTCACCAGAGACAGAGTAGAAAACAGAAAAGGGATTTATTGAAATGCGCTGCTAAGAGAAGCAGCGGGCAAGACAGAAGAGGTCTGCACAGGAAGGATTTGGGGCTCCCTTTTATTACCAATTTGGAGGGCTCTTCATGACTGAGGGCTCAGTTTGGGTCAGTTAGTGTTGGGACAGTCTTGGTGTTGGCCTTTGACACAGAATTTGTCCTGATCCTGCTTCCACATCCAGGATCAAGGTGATCAGTCTTATGGCTGGTTCCTATAGCAACATTTATCTATTCAAACTTCCCAAATCATCCTGCTGGGCAAGGGGTGGGGGCTCAGTTTTAATCTTATTAAATGACACCCTGACACATACCACCATAAAATGGAATACTACTCAGCAATAAAGAAATGAAGCACTAGCAACTCTCCTGCCACCTGTGACTAAGCAGGTATTCTCTTGGTCTCCTTTTCCTAATAAACTTGGCCTTTTAAAATGTAAAAAGAAAAAAAGGCAGGCCTCCCCGGTGGTGCAGCGGTTGAGCGCTGGTTGAGAAGCTGCCCGCAGCCTCTGCAGTGCCAGTTCGATCCCCGGCTGCTCCCTGGCCACTGGAGGAGGGTCCCGCATGGCGCGCAGACCTCTCCTGCCGCCCGCTGCTCCCCTCAGCAGTGTGCTTCGGTCCTTCTGCCTGCTCTGCTCCCCGCTCTGGCTCTGGTGAATTCTCTCACCCTCCTGCGCTTCTGACTGTACCCAGTGCTTGTATAAATAAATAAATAAATCTTAAAAAAAAAAAAAAAAGGCACAAAGCCAGGAGTACTTTAAAAATTAAAAATAAAAAAGTTAAAAAAAAAGGCAATGAAGCACTGATCTACCCAATAATATGGACAAATCTCAAAATAATTATGCTGAAAGGAACCAGAAACATCCGTCTCCAAAAAATACAGATTGTGTGATTCCATTAAGGAATTTGCATTAAAATTATATACATTATATAAAGTTCTAGAAAACACAAACTAATCTACAGGGATAAAAGTAACCAATCAGTTGTTACCTGGAAGGGGGAGGGGGCGCACAGAGAGGAATGAGGAACTGGGGGTGATAGCTGGGTCATCATTCTGATTATAGGGCTGTCTGATGGCCATATGTGAAAACTCAAATTTGAAAAACTTGCACACATGCT